TAGAGCTTTGAACCCATAAGCTCAATCTGGCCCTAATTCATTGAGATTTTAAGGTGAAAATTGTGTTTGAGTGAAATGAGGCTAGTTGAGGTGATGTAAAGTAGTAATCAAGTAGTAATGGACCTAGAATGGATAAATGAAAAAAAATATACGGCTAAATAAAGACATAAGTAGTAATTAAGTGCTTTTGGTCAAATTAGACCAACTAACTAAATTGTGCTAATTGTGTTTAGATTGGTATATCGAGCATGTGAATTAAGAAAGGAAGCTTGTGATGAGCTATAGTGGTAGTTGAAATTCACAAGTAACCTTTTTAATGATAGAAAGGTTAAGGTAACAAAATAAATTTCTTTGTTTGATTATTTGTTGTAACTATGTGTAAATATACTATGTAATACATGAAATTATTTTGAACTGAGCATGTTTTGTAACATTGAACATTTATTTCATAAAAAGGGATTTTAGTTCAACAAGTAATGAAATTTGTGAAATTTGATATAGAAATGTGTATATGTATAAATATGAGTAAGTGGTGATTGGAAACCTATAGATAGTTCGGAAACGCATGCTCATAGGGGTGGGAGTTTACTCAAGTGGAGATGTGGTAATAAGACCATATGGCATATTCTCCTTAGTGCCCGACAGCGTGTGGTGTTGGAGAATTATATTTCTTTAGTTCCTTTCGAGGTGCGATAGTGGAGATTACCTCCTTAATGTCTATTGAGGTGCGGTGTTAGAAATTTTAACTCCTCATTATCTGTGTGATATGGTGTTGGAGTCAATGACACCCCATTGTATGTAATGGGAGAAACCATAGTCCGAAAGTGAGATAAAACACCTTTAGCCAGGTAATTCTATCACTAAATGTGAGCTCAGACAATAAGAGTATACATTGGTTAAAGACAAGGCTATAGTTTCGTGTCGAAGTGATTTGAAGGTTTGATCGGTAGTGATCATACCATATGTTGTATATGTGGAAAAGTGATGAAAAGTGGTGATTATAGTTATAAAAGAAGTGAATTGACACATATGGTATGATTTGAAATGAAAGATATGATATATGCTATGATTGATGGTATAATATATTATAATTCTATATAATTGCATGTGATAGTCAATAGGAGTGAGTTATTCTATTATTGAGATTTTTATCTCACCCCTGTGGTTACATTTCTACAGGACAATGCAGTGATCAAGGTAAGGAAAAAGAGTCAAGACCAGCTTAGAGTTATTGAAGTCGTGTGAACTCAGAATATTGTATAATGAATCAAAAACTTGTGTGCATATGTATATAAGTTGCTATAGAGGTTTACATGCATGGTTTAAATTGGGTTTTGTTGAAAATATAGAGATTTATGGTAAATGTTGGGAGTTTTGGTGAATATTAGGTCATGTGTGAAATTATGATGAAATAAATAATTTAGAGCTAAAATTGAGTTGTGATTATGTTATGAATATGGATATATATAAATTTGTGGTGAAAAATGTCAAGTGGGCCAAATTGTAGCAAATTGAGAAAAGTTGATAAATGTGAAAATTGATTGTTAAACAATCAAATTTTGATATACGTGTATATATATGATGAAATGTAGTCAATCAGGTATATTAGGTCCTTTTGGACTTAGTTCAAGACCTTATGTGGTCTAATGAGACAAATAGATCAATTTGAGCGCTTGAGTACATGAAATTTTTATAAAAAGTACTTTTTACACCCGGGTGTCCAAATTCAATTGGACTATTAGATCGTATTCAAATGTATCTCATTAACTAGCTTATGAGATAAGCTTTGTGTGGGTGCTTGAATCACTCCAATTGGACGTCGTATGTGAAAACAACGTATGCCGAAAGTTTGTCATTTTTATTGTCAAATGTTGTGAAAGAGGTGTATTGGGATTCATAGAAGTGGTAGAAAGGGGTGATTAGAATGTAATGAGCCAAAATTAACCAAGTGAAAGGGAAAGAATAGTTAAATGTGATTGTAGATGATAATTAGTGCTTGTGCTCAATTTGATTAATTGACTAAAAAATGCTAATTATATATAGATTGTTAGGGACATTAATTATTAGGAATAATCCATGGGTAACCCTTTCTTGTGACAGAAGGGTTGAGATAATCGAATAATTTATTCTATTTGATTGTCTATTATAATTGTTTGCAAGTATTATAACTATTGTATGAAATTTACAACTCATATTATAAATTAACAAGTAAAGTAAGAAAATTAATAATTAATGATTTTGCATAATAAGTGAAAGGTTCTTTAGTCTTTTTACTGTTGAAATTATTTTCACTTTAATTCTTTTGGACTGAACTGCAGTTTCAAATTTTTTAAGACCTAATAGTGATTAAATCACATTCATGATTCTTAATTGAAATTCTCTCTAAATATGATAAAAGGGTCGACTACTGATATAATTTTCTCTCTCTGTTTTTTAAAAAAAAAACATAAGGGAATGACATTGAAGTCCCAAAATAATGAATTTATGATAATTAAATTCTCAACAAAATTTTTAAAAAAAGCAATTGTAAATATTAATTCAGACATTTATAAATTTTTGAGTTCTTACTAGAAATAAAATATTTTAGTTTTAAATATAACTCTCAACTTACAATTAAATTCCTATTTGAATTAAATATACTCCCTCCGTTCAAAAATATAAAGCATTTTTAATCTAATCTCACCCCCAATAAAGTTATTACTTACTTTCCAACTAACTCTATCTTTTTATATTTATCCCTATTAAATGTTCTACAATAAATATAATATCATTATTAACAAGGGTACTTTAAAAAAATAATGATTACACCTCAAAAAATTAAAAATGCCTTACATTTTTTAACATCTAACTCTTCAAAAAATGCCTTACATTTTTTAACGGAGGGAGTAACTCTTAGTTTGTAATTGTATTATAATAAAGACATGCTAGATTAACACCAATTAAATATAATAAAGAGTTGGCTCATGATATAATTTTCTTTTTTTCCCCAAAAAAAGATGGAAGAATGACATTAAATTTTCAAAATAATGAATTTATGACAATTATGTTTCTCCTAAATTTTCTAAAAAATTTGTGAATATTATAAATAAAATATTTAAATTTTAAATATAACTCTTAATTTACAATTGAGATTTCTATTGACAATTTTTTGAATAAATATTTTCAACTTATAGTATCTTTTGGAAAACTTTATTGAGAATTTAATTGTCATAAATTTTTTATTTAAGAATTTTACTGTCATCCTCCTAAAAAAGATATCATTTTCTTTTAGCCTTAGCTCCTCTTTGAATTGATGTTTGCAATTGGATATTTTTGTTTTATTGTCATTCTCCCAAAACTTGCAATTGATGATAGTTAAGTCTCTAATAATTTTTTTTTGAAATTGCAAATATTAACTCAAATAATTGTAAAACAAAAATCTCAATTGCAAACTAAAACTTATGTTTAAAATTTAAATATCTTATTTGTAGTTAAAACTCTTAAATTTTATGACTATTTGAATTAACATTTACAATTAATTTTTCATAAAATTTTATTAAGGTTTTAACTATTATAAATTTATTATTTTGGAAGTTTAATGTCATTCTCCCTTAGATATTTCATATTTTATTTTATAACATAATTAGCAATATGTTTTGCCGATAACAACCATATTTGATATGATTAATGTTATATCACAACAAATGCCTCCTCGTTTATGTGGGAACAGCTCGAGAAATCAAATCTTAGCACCTCTTTCTTCCTATCATTTATTTAGTCTCTTACAAGTTTCTTCTTTCGCTTAAACCGTGTTTAAGTTACCAAACATTGTGTTGTGTTGAGTAAAGGAAATAATTTAAGAAAAATCACACTTAGGTCCTCCATAACAAATGGAACTACTACTAGCAAATCTCACCAAATGGTGAAATTCTTCTGTAGTCCTGACTTATTATTTGTAAATAAGTTTGCAAGCAAAATGACTTATTTACCTTCATTGAATTCTTCTTGCGATTGTCTTCCCCATACCACCGGCATGCTTTCAGCTTCCCTTCAACAATGACACAATGCAGGCAAAAGCAAAGAGAGAAATGACTCAATTAGTTGCGAGAGTGTCACTATGAAAGTGCTAGATTGTAGCATCATCATCAAACACAAGATGGTCGACCAGGCAAGTGTAAAATCCCCCACTTTGCCTATTTTAAAGGTATTGACGACACCCCTCCAACCACCCTCATGGAGTTCACATTGGGCAACGACAAAGACAATATGAATATGAGAAACATAACTGCGCCAATTATGTCAGTGACTTGAATCTAATGTGTCTGGTAAGGCTTCAAGTGAGGTCCCAGGACAAGAAAGTAGTAGCCTACAAGAGTTCACCTTTAACTCGTCAAGATATTGCTATATAGGAAGCTAGGAACCTCACAGGCCTTCAAGTCGATCGCATATTTAAGGATCTTCAAGTCGGTGTACCCTAAGGCTCACTCTTAGGCCTATGATGGCCCCACCAGCATCGCCACTTGCACTAAAGATAATTATCTCATCATTTTTTGCTCCCATTGTCACCATTGATAGAGGGAAGGGAGGGAACAGTGATGATAGTGATGACATTCAAAAGAAAAATTCAATGAGAGTAAATGAATCATTATATTTGCAAACTTAATCATAAATACCTAAAAGTTGTAGAAGACTTTTTGCCATTTAGTACGACTTGCTAGTAATTACATTTGTTGTGGGTACTTGGGTGTGAATTTTCCCATAATTTACTTTTAATACACAGTAAATCATCGGAAACATTTACCCTAACATCCAATTCCCAAGTCACATGCACGCAAACGATGAAACGAGTGAGGGAAAACAAATCTCATACGGAAGTTTCTAGAGAAAAGACGTTTCTCGCGCCTTCCACTTTTTAATTCTGCCTTTTTATTTATTATTTTTTTCCTTTCGTGCCTGATTAAAATTTCTTTTCTGCTCTTCATCGATCGCCCATAAATTCTTGTGCGAACCTTCTAGAACCACCATAATTATCTTCCTCTTCTCTCTCCGTTGTCTCCCTCTTCATTCTCTCTCTCTTTTTCCTGCTCTCTGTCTGTACTTCCTATTCCGAGAACGAGGTTGCAGTGTGTAGCTTGTTATCTTGATTTGTGGTTTATTTTGAGTTGATTCCAGCTATGGCTTCGCCGCCGGTGGATCGCAAAGGCGAGTCCTCGGCCGGAGAGTCCCAGAGATCTATGCCGACGCCTTTTCTAACGAAAACTTATCAACTTGTTGACGATCATACCATAGACGATGTCATATCATGGAACGAATATGGAACCAGTTTCATCGTCTGGAATCCGACGGTTTTCGCCAGAGATTTGCTTCCTAAATATTTCAAGCACAACAATTTCTCCAGCTTCGTCCGTCAACTTAACACCTATGTAATTGTTGTTCTAAATTTCTCGTGTTTTAATCTTTTAAATTTCCTTTTTCTTTTTTTAGGAAATTTTTCTCAGTCCTATTACTTATTTTTATTTCCAGGGATTCAGAAAAGTAGTACCTGATCGGTGGGAATTCACGAATGAGTGTTTTCGCAGAGGCAAGAAACAACTATTGTGCGAAATTCAGCGTCGGAAAATCTCGCCGCCGTCGGCACCAGCAGCCGGTGCAAGTGCAACTGCAGCCGCGTCAGTTCCGACGGCGGTGCCATTGACGGCAAGACCAATGGCGAAACATATCATATCGCCTTCAAATTCAGGGGAAGAACAAGCCATTTCGTCGAATTCATCGCCGACTGGAGCTCCGGCTGAGCTTTTAAACGAGAACGAGAGGTTGAGAAAGGAAAACATTCAGCTGAGCAAACAATTAGCAGAGATGAGATCTCTTTGTAACAACATATTCAATCTCATGTCAAAGTACGCAAATAATCAAAATATCAGCTCGCAAGATAGACTGGGCGACTTCACCGCCGTGAAACCGCTCGATTTGATGCCGGTCGCACGGTGCGCCGGTAACGAGGATGCGGTGGCGATTGCGGAAGTCGACATGAATCCGAAGCTGTTTGGGGTGGCGATAGGTGCGAAGCGATCAAGGGACGGCGGAGGCGGTGGCGGAGGTGGAGGCGATACAGTGTTAAGCTTGCACAGAGTGGGGCCCATGGAGATGAAATCAGAACCGTTGGGTTGCCAGAGGCGTCGAGATAATCAGGAAGCGCCGTGGCTGAATCAATGCCATAACGCGAATCAGAGAGTTTGTAATTAACACGTGGCATTCCATTCCAATGCAAAAAATTCTTGCCTAGGTTCCGCGCGACTTGCTTGCACGCGCCGAATGGAGTCACGTGCGTGTTGTACTTGGAATGGATTCCTGAAGTTTCTCAGAGATGCATGCGACATTATCATCTCTGTTCAAGAAGGAAATCATAGTTGCCCTTTTTTTGTTTTTCTTTTTTTTTTTTTTTGCTTTTACTGCTTTTCCTTGACTTTCTGGCATCGAATTGTACGGTGACAGCTGGACTTAGGTTTGTTTTAGTGCTGAAATTTCCCTTACTTTTGTATTTTTGTTTAGATTATTAATATTGATAGTAGTTATTAATAGTATTAATTAATGCAGAAGTGTCAGTGGCACCTTGGGTTATTCTTAAGAGTAAAATACTTTACTGTTCTCTCTATTTTATTTTTATTACACATATATCCATCTTATTTTATAAACATATGTGAACTCCCTCTGTTATTGGTAGCTACCTGTCTTCTTTTATTTTTTAAGTTGCATTTTTATTCATTCAATCCTTATTTGACCGTGAAGGCTTAAGCTACATATATTTAATCAAAATATCTCTTTTTAAGTATAAATGTTATTCAAAAATCATTCCTATTAAAAAAATTAATGTATATTATTTTTGACTTTTTTTATATTTTAAATTTTTTAGTTATATAAGCTTATTGATTTAATAATATTTTTTAAAATTTAAATATATAAATTAGTCAAAATAATGTTTCAAACATGTATTTAAGAAATTTGATGAAATAAAGATTTATTATAACAAAGCACTAAATATAATTTATATTTATTTTGTATTGTATTAATTTTAACACAATTTTAAATTATTTATTTAAATACTGACATAATTATTTAATTTTTTTAGAATTGGGAGAGTAGACAATTAAATTATAAGGATAAAGTAATAATTTTAAAATTTTTAACATAATTACAAATAAAACATCAAGTATTTTAAAATATTTAACGAAACACTCCTAATAATGTTAATAATTAGATTAAAGTATAAATTTTGAAAATAGAAGAAAGGTTTTTGTAATTTAAGAAAAATAAAAAGAATTCATTATATCTTCGTATTCTTAATCATGGTTGATCTTTGATTCATCAAAATATAATGCGATTGAAAAATCTGTACTTCATGATACAAAAAAGATAGAAAATTGCACTTCGTATCCGCCCTCAGTACGACCGAATAATGAAAGTGGAAAATTTGATCACGCACCATTATTATTTCTGTCCATCATGCCGAACCGTTTATTATTATTTTTTAAGAAAAGAAATATTGGTTCTAGAAAGTAGCCAGGGATAAGAAATGTACGTATGGCACATGCATCACACATTTAAAATAAGATCAAAAAAAGGATATATATTATTTGATAAAAAAAACCATTCAATCTAGCAATAAAGTAGTATTTTAAAAAATAATAATACATTTGATATAAAATATATAAGCACAGGTGCTATTGCTAACTATAATAAATAATTTTATGATACCTTCTTCATTCAAGATGTAAGTCATTTTTAATTAAATTTTATTTTAATAAAATAATTATTTATCTTTAAGCTATTTTTATTTTTTATACTTATTCTTTATTTATATCTTAAAATAAATATAAAGTGATTTATTTAATATGAGTATTTTTTTAAAAAATAATAATTATATATTACAAGACTAAAAATTTTAAAAGACTAAAAATTTTTTATATTTTTTAATATTTAACTCTTCAAAAAATGCCTTACATTTTCTAACAAAAAGAGTAGGGATTTTCTTGAGTTATATAATTTTTTTAAAAAGCTCAAACTTTGTTCAGTCATTGTGCAAGATTCTATAGAATTTTTTTTATTTATTTAAATTTTTCTACATATTTTAACAACATTTAAAAACCATCTACAACATTCTCTAGAGTTTTTTTATGATTGTCAAAACAACTTTTGGGAATAGCGAGCTAAAATCAAGTGAAAAATAGAGAGAGAACAAGACACCAAATTTTTTCACATGACAGTAAATAGAAGGAAAAAAAAACAAGAACTTTATAAGGGGCCTAAATCTAGCTCTGGATTCTCGGGTTGAAGATCAACAACTCATTTTTGCCTCTTGGAATTATTTCAACGATCTTCTGTCTAATTCCTCCACACCAAATAGCATGGAGATATTATAGGCCATGTCCAGTCTGAACATTCTTAAAATTAACTCCTCGAAATTACAAATTCTAATGGTACCCCTCGTAATTTTAGAGATAAAAGAGGCAACCTTCGATCTTCCCAAAGACAATACCCTTGGCCAGGATGGTTTTAATGCCAACTTCTTCCAAAATTTTTGGGATATTATTGGTGATGATGTTTTCTCTATGTTCTCTTTTTGACATTCAGAGCATATCCTTACTGTTTTGAACAAGTCTTGTGCAACCATTAATCCAAAAGGAAAAATTCTTACAACTCTCAAGGATCTCAGACCAATCAATTTGTATCATAGTCTCTTGTAAGATCATTTACAAAATTATGAGTAACAAGACTCAAGAAAATTTGTTTTTTTTTTATAAAAGAAAGTTTATGTAAGTTGGGTCTTAAGGATTCATTAAGGCTAAGCATGTCTTTAGACTCAACAAGCATTTACAAAAATACTTATAAATTGTTCACCAACAATATCCTCATATCATGAGCAGTGAAATTTGATCTTGTGACCTTGTGAGTTATAAGCCAACTCTTTATTAACTAGACTAACTGTTGTTGACAAACTCAAGCAAATTCCCCAAGATTGATCTATCCTTTTCAAAGTGCCTGTGTGAAAGGAAGGTTAATAATTGATAATGTGACAGCTACGATTGATTTGGTCAATTAGATCCATTTGGCAAAGGGAAAATAGAGCAAATTAAGCGCGTTCGAATTTGATCTTTCCAAAGTCTTTGATCTCCTTTCTTGGGATTTTATTCATACTGTTCTAAGAAGAATGAACTTTCCCAACAAATGGATAAATCTTTTACTCCATTGTATCTTCACGGTGGATTTAAATACCATCTTCAATGGACAACTTGACCAATTTTCCCCTATAACAGCATTAGGTAGGGAGATCCCCTATATCCCTACATCTTTATTAGCCGTCAACTTTCTCTTATCTTCTCATTCAATTTGAACAAAGTGGCTTATTTCATGGAGTCAAGGTTTATCAATCTTCACTTCCAATTTCCCACCTTCATGCGAGTGACTTTATGATTTAATGATCATATATTGACTACCAGACAGCCATTTCATAGCATAAACAAGTTACATATTATCTAACAGTACTTACACTAATATTTTAACCTTATACCATTAATACATTTCAAAACATATATCCCAAGCTAAAATATAGAACAAAACAAGCATTCATACCATGCAAGTGCATCTAAAAAATACATGCAATCCTAATTGACAATATAATTACACACACATACACATTTGTTTACACATTAGATAAAATAACAGGGCTATATAAAAGCAATAGTGCAACTACTCCTTGCTCGTTTCCATTTACTTGCTCCTATCTGTATTATCATATATAAAATTATAATCATAGGGTGAAATAAAGTCACAATAATCAAATAATCTAAACAATCTACTAACAAGTCAAACTGTAAACAACCATGCAAAATGGAATAATGGTAAAACAGGTGATCATGGTATAAAGTATGTTTATCAAACCAATTGTGCATGATCTAAATTACCATCCTAACCTCCACAACAACCTCCAACCAATTTTGTAAACTAACAATATATTGGGCCAAGTCTATGTAATCAAATTGGCCCGAATTCACCTAATATGGAACGTAACTTGGCCAAAGGTGTTGTTACTACTTTCAAACTACGGATTCCCCCTTAAAGAATACTTGGGGTGTCATTTGGCTTCGACCTCCACCCTTTTAGATGATAATGGGGCTGCTAGAATAAAAACTAAAGATTAAGCCTACCTGTGGTGTTAGTGGTACCATATGAATTTTTATCTACTTCCTCTAGGGTAAACTCTCACCTTCTCACATTAATCACGCCAAATAATGAAATAATGCATCATTACTTACACATGCCCATTTCTTGATCAACATCATTTATGATCACATAACAGAATTTGCAAACTTAGTTCATAAAATATGTATATCTATATATTGTTATTCTTTTAAAAACCCATTTTCTCTCTTTACTTATATTTCTAAAACGAAATACATATATATGTATTTGCATATACTTATAAAATAACATTTATATCACAACAAACTTGAACACAATTTAACATGAAAGTAAATAAGATAGATTATCCAGTTGTCTCAACTATTTTATTACTAAAAGAATTACTTTTGGAAATTATTACCCTTTACTAGCTTCTAATTGCTCAAAGATCACTTGACCAACAACAATATATAAGATTAAGCATTATATGTCAATTTTCAATTTAACATAGGTACTTAATAGTTCAAATAAGCTAATCCAAACTCCTAACTTCTATCATTGGGCAAATCAAAGTCCCTTTCATTTTCCATTAGTTTCATTTAACTTTTATTAGACTTAATCATACTAGTTTAAGGTCAAATTCACTTCCAAAATCCCATTTAAAGCTAAGGTTTGTCCAACCTTAAGTTCTCAACCTTCAAACTCTATAAAACTATAAATATTAGGTGTAGAAACTTAAATTAATTCCCAATAGTTCTATTTAAGCCATTGAGTTTGGACCTAAATCCCTTGGGTCAGAAATCATAATTTCCTATACCTAAGATTTCAAGAAAAAATGAGTAGGAGGGTAGAGGGAAGGAGTGGGAAACTTACCCAAATAATTAGAGGTCCATACTAGTTCTTAATAGCCTTAATATCGAAGCCCTATCACAGCTAAACCTAGCTCCCTTTGCAATTTTCTTTCTTCATTCTTCTCCCTCTATTTCACAATTACATGTGTTTACCCTTTTTCAATATCAACATTGTCCACCGCGGTACATATAGTGTTCGCTACAACCCATTCTTAAGTTGTCCAAACAATCCAACAACCATCCTAGCCCATTTCAAGATGTTTAAACAATCTAATAAGTCATTAACACTCTGGAAACATAATTAACTTAATTAATTTATTGATTTACTAATTTACCCTTATTTAGTCTATACATTCTAGATTAAAAAATTTAGAATATTACATATCCTTCCTTTAAGAAATACTTAGGCATATGGATTGATGCTGCTAAAGATAAACACCTAATCAACAGCCAATTTTTGGAAGCTATTGACAAAAGAATTACATCCTAGAAGAATAAGCTTCTCTCACAAGCCTCTAGACTTACACTTATAACATCTACCTTATCTACATCCAATGTTTAAATCCTCTCTGGTCTTAAGCTTCCAAAAAAGCTTTGTGATCTCATTAATTCTAAGATTGTGGATTTCTTTTGGGGTATAAGTGA